TAGAAAATGGAATTGGGGGCAAGGGATGGAAAATAACCATCGGAATGAAAATCCGTTATAGAATTGGATTCCGAACCAGGTTTCGTTCACAAGGGCCATAAACCCGGCGTGTCGAGGAGCAAAACCCTGCCTGAAAGAAAGAGGCCCCTTGTCCCACTGAGTGAAGAGTTAAGCTGGTGCTAAGCATCCCTGGCAAGCGAGCTCTGGCATGTTGGTTGATCTCTGGCAGGGCGGGGTGCAAGGAAGGCTCTGCAGAGAGGTGGGAGCCACAAGAGGGAAAGCAGGGTGACGCTTAGGGCATCAGGGTGGTGAAAGGCACCCTGGTTTCTGGGCCAGCTGGCAGGCAGGGCATTCTTCCTTGTGATTACCCTGAAGGTGACGGTACCTGGGGAGGAAGGCAAGGGCTCCAGTGGCCGAGGGGAGCTGCCCTTCTGCAGGAAAGAATCCATTACCTTCAGGTTTCTTTGTTCGCCCAGATGTTTCAAATACGTCTTTATTCTGTAGGTAAAGAAACTTCTTCTTATTAGTATTGTAATTTATGTAAATTTCATAAGGAAAATGAAGTATTTGAAGCAGAATGCATACAGAGTTGGGAAAATACCTATTCAGACACGTAGCACAGAACTGATGAACTTGGCCTCAAAGCTGCTGGTGTTTACTTTTTGAAAATGTAAGGTGACTCTGTTTCAGTTCTCAGTAAAAAAAAAAAAAAAAAAAGATAAAGCAAGAACCCCATTTTGATTTTATTACTTGGAAGTAAATTTCCAGAACTTTCTAAAAAGCCCAATAACCTCCAGGACTATTAAACTTACACAAATGTGTTTTAAGAGTCTGGTTGGCTGGGTGGGTGTGGGGGCTCACGCCTATAATCCCAGCACTTTCCCAAGCCGAGGTGGGCAGATCACCTGAGGTCAGGAGTTCAAGACCGGCCTAGCTAACATGCGAAAGCCTATCTCTACTAAAAATATAAAAATTAGCCAGGAATGGTGGCGGACACCTGTAGTCCCAGCTACTTGGGTGGCTGAGGCTCAAGAATCACTTGAACCCAGGAGACTGAGGTTGCAGTAAGCCAAGATCATGCCACTGCACTCTAGGCTGGGCGAAGAGCAAGACTCTGTCTCATTAAAAAAAAAAAAAAAAAAAAAAAGCAGGTGGTGTTTCTACCTTGAGATTCTGTTTTGATAAAAGCAAAAGATCCTTTCCTAGTGAGTCAGAAGATAAGCCTCTGAGCCAGGCAAACCTGGTTGACTGTTCTGTGATCTCACCAGGCCGCTTCTCCCGTGAAGCTTCCATTTGTCAGCAGTAAAATGAGACTACTTGGCAATGATCATGTCTTGAGAGTCACTGGGACATTTAAATGAGAACATCGCTCATACCAAGGGTTCAGCATGTGGGTGGGTGCTCAGTCACAGGAACCATTGGCTGGCATGCAGTGTGGAATCTTGAGATCTAGAGCCGAAGACACCCCTTCCCTATGGCCTGCCCATTCATTCATTTATAAAAGACCTTGGAGAGATCCTATAGTGAGTGGAAAGATGGTGCCATGTTGGCTGGTGTGCTCACTCTTGGAAACCTGCCGTATTGAGGTGGCAGTCGAGTGTGTGTGTATGTATGTATGTATGTATGGGTGCATGCGTGCGTGTGTGTGTGTGTTTGCGTGATACGCCAGCCTTTACTATGCCTCATGAGGCTAAAAACGACGTCTGGTAGGCCTGACATCTGGTGCTCATGAATGAAGCCACTGTAGCGAGACAGAACACCAGCAGGGACTCAGACACACTAAGTGACTGTCTTCCACGTAGTGGCACTTCTGGTGCACACTTGGTGTCGGAATGCCTGTTCTTTGTTCCTTTCCCCTTTTCCTTGTCCCCAGCTACCAACCCCGCTCTGGCTCTAGAAGATGAAAGCTCTCCGTTCCTGGGACTGTTGTTGTCCTGCCCTAGTAAATCTCAAAATAATGAGATGCTTCATTTCAGTCACTGAAGGAACCAGAGGAGAATCACTGCCTTTTTGATGTTGTATCTCTGGAACATTTTTAAAAGAAATGTAGTTAAAAAGAAAAGTCATTGAAAAATAGCTTTGGGAGCAGTGGTTTAGAACCCCAGTCTTTGGACCAGCTGCGTTCTAATCATCTGGGACACACCAAAGCTCTGGCTCTGAAGGCTGGGATTGAGAGGGAACCCGGGATCTTAGCATCAGTTTGTTTTTGCTTTGTGTTTTAAAACTGCAGGTGATTCTGCAGTGCAGCATTGTTTGAGAGCCTAGCTCTGGAGGCAGCTTTGTGACCTTGATGATATGGCCAGAAACCCGTGCTCAGGCTGTGGTGATTGTGGACTGTTTTCTTAAGTTCAGAACCCCAAAGTAGATGAACTTGGTCTGAATTTACATTTTTGTTCATTGGGATTTTTCGCTAATTGATGCTGGCCTGTCTTTAAGTTAGTCTCAATCGTTGAAGCTTGATCTTAAGGACCATGTGACAATCAGGGCAGTACCACTGGCAGAGCCTCCGTGGGTACTGGGCTGTCTTTAGTGGCCAAGAGCCTATCTTGTTTGCAGAGTGACCCTTCGGGGGCTCCGGATGCTTCAGACTCAGCACGAGAGTACAAAACAGAGCGCTTTTCTTGAGTGCCGCTTGGTTCCGCAGTGAGTGCACGCGGCTGCCGCTCACAGAAAGTTTTATTCCGCAACCTTTGCCAGCAAGGAAGGAAAATATACAGAGGCAGGGAGGTCATCATTATGTAACCCCCTCCTTTTTTTTTCTGTTCTTTTTGTAAGGACATCATCCACTAAGGATGCATGGAAATGCATTTATGGTCTCTCCTTTCTGCTAAGCAAACTCAAGCAGCTTCATTTTCAGAAATGCAGAATTGACAAGGTTTATAAATGCTGCTTTGTTGACCGTGAGCCGTGCGGTTTGGCCCCAGAGTTATCTCAGATAGCACAAATAAATCTGGCGGCCTCCAGTTGTCTCAAGCTGAGCATTATTAGCTCCTTCCCCTGTTGTCTCCCTCCTTGCAGAATTTCCTCCTGGCCTTCAACACAGACTCCCTCTTCTCATTAATATGCCCTGTTAACTGCTGCCAAACCTCTAGCAGTTTAGTGCATATGTTCCCTTAATCATTTCTCTTTGTTCTAGAAGTCTGTGTTTGGTTTCTGAACCAACCTTTTTCCTGCCCCTCCCATCACCATCCCTGGCTATAGCCTACGACTGTCTACTGTCTACATGTTTATTTACAGAACGTCCTAGATGGCCTTTGCAATCTGCTCACAATGTGCTAAATCATCCCCTCAGCCCCCGCCCCATCACCTCGAGAGCCCTGGGCCTTAGGAAGCCAGGTGAAGGGTTGCCGGACCCTCCAGAAAGCAGAGGTTCCTGGAAGACAATTAACTCCCCACACAGACAAAGACTCCTTCTTCGGATTTTCTGCCCGTCCAACACAAGAAAAGGACGCTTTCTTCTTGGAGCCCAGGGCTGTATAGCACACTTGATCTCAATGAGTTATTCATGGTGTCCAAGAGAAATACTTCTGAGCTGTATTTCATGTGAGATGGAAATGGGCCTGGCACATGGGCGGCGAGGCCGGCCTGCTCCCCAAGAGCGTCCTGTGCCTGCCAGCAGCCGTGTGGGAAGACAGCTGTCTCACAGCCGAGCCCCTGCCCTGTGTGGCCTGATGTCTTTTTAACAAGTGAAGGGTCTTCTGGATTCCCCCTGTCCTAACTGGGGTCTGCATACGCCATCAGATGGAGCTCTGTGAGCCATCGGTGCACAGTGGACACTGTTGTTTTTCTCTGCTTTTAAGTATTTGTCTTCTCTTACCGAGTCGCAGCCATTTGTAAAGTTCCACCCAGTTTCTGTAGCCGGGAGGGGAGGATGATGAGCTTCTCAGAGCGGGGTCTTTCTTTGGAGCTCCTTTGTCCTCAGCAGGGCCACTGTGGAAGCCTGGAGACTTACTGTTAGAGACTTTATGTTACTGCAAAATGCCATCTCTTCTGCATCGCTGTCCCGGCCGCCCCCCTCCTTCCAAAAAAGAAAAAAATCAAAGAGGCCCTCTCAGCTGCACTGACAAAGTGGCTAAACCCGATCTGTGCTCTGTTGCTGAATCCTGCCTCAGACCGCGCCTGCACCCCACCTGTTGCACAGGTCCCGGGCGTGCAGGGAGAAACCGCCCTGCTGCAGTGTGTGCTGTTTTGTTTTGGCGGCCCCACTGGGATACCACGGTGTTAAAACAGGGAGAGCGCAGCTTGCAGGAAATTCTGAGTAGGGTTTTTTGGTGTGATTTTTTTCCTTTCCTTTTTTTTGGAAAAAGTTAATATCGACTCATTTGGTGGGGATGTAGTGTACTTTTCTACCTCTCCCCCAAAGGAAAGTTTGTATTCTTTTAAATGAAACCATTTGAAAAGCAGGACTGAAGCCTAAAATGATACAGGGCTCTCCTGCGTCCTCAGAAGGTGTGGATTTATTTACCATAGTTAAATCATAATTAGTTCTCAGGGGATAGTGTGTCTTTTAAACGGCTTTATTGCCACCATATTGGTTTTCTGAATAATCAGAAACTTCTGTTATGATTGTGTTCGAGTGTTCGAACAGAAACGCACCCTAAGTAGGAACAAATGTCTGGAATTGCCAGTTGTCACTTGAAGAAGGTACACACATTGGGAGTTGGGGGAGAAAGGACGTGGTAGGATATTCTGATGCAATACAATCTAACCGAGTCTTACATAAACAGAGTTACAGCTCAGGCAGGTACACACGCCCCCTCCCAGGCTTCTTTTTGATGTTAAAAGGTGCTTTCTTCATCTCTTTTCATTCTCACACTGAGGTTAGAAAGGAGGGTGATATCCCTCCTGGCTCTACGTTCCTGAAGGCCAGTGGAAACCAAAGTTGGCCCTTCGTGGCCACACACCCACAGATGCACGTAAACAGTGTCCTTCCTGTGTGAGTCGTCGGTGTGCGCGTGTGTGTCCATGTCCAGCCTGACCAGTCTCTCTCCCGTTCGCAGGTTGATGTTTCAGATGCCGCAGGAAATGGGTTTAATAGCAATCGCAGCCCGGCAGACCCAGGGCAAAGGTCAGTCATCCTTTGTTATCATTGTTGTTACTTTTGTTTTCTTTCTTTCTTTCTTTCTTTTTAATTTAAGAGATGGAGTGTCACCATGTTGGCCAGGCTGGTCTCGAACTCCTGACTTCAGGTGATCCACCCATCTCAGCGTCCCAAAGTGCTGGGATTACAGGCGTGAGCCACCGCGCCCAGCCGTTAATTTTGTTTTCTAAACTCTGCAACTCTTATGGCCCAGGAGCCCATTGAATGCATGTGCTGATCATCTGGGGACTCAAGTTAGATGTAGTGTCTATGTTTATAACCACCTGGAATGAAGAGGGAGAGGGAAGGAGTGATCAGAAGGTTCAGCCTTAGTAGAACGAAAGCACTCTCTTCAGATCATAATGCTTATGAATCACTGGGAGTTTGCCTGTGATGGCAAATGTGACCTACATGAATTCTGAGCTTCACAATCTGTAGATCGTCGCTGTGCTCTAGAGACATTTGTTTTCCTGAAAGTTCTCCATAAGGAGCCTTCTGTGTCTGTACTGAGCATCACGTGAGAGGCCTTTTGTGTGCTGGTTCCCACCCCAGCTGGCTCTGGCCTTGCATGTACATAGTGAGCTGTGCACCATGCCCATTCACACAGTGACCACAGAGAAGCAGAGCACTGCCCAGGGATCACCACCTGCAGATCCCAGAGGCGAGAGCCCGCATCCTCCCGACCCATCCAGGGTCTGACCCTGTACAGGGGCTGCTCCCAGGGCACGGCCCCTCCCTGCCCCTAGCCAGTACCACACCCACCCAAATGTGCTTCCCTCATAGACTCTTACGACTTTTTCATAAGAACCAAAGAAATAAGAAATCTGCTGTTCTCAGTTCTTTCTCTTGAATGTGTCTTTCAAACATAATTCAAATGGGAAAAAAAAACATCTTTTTATCAGAAGCTATGGATCTCCATATGTGGATTTTTTTTTAAAAGACATTCTAGAAGAACTTTGATGAACTCTTCCTCTCATTAGGATTCTTTTGTTTTTCTAACTTCAATTTTAAGAAAAGTAGGCCAGGCACGGTGGCTCATGCCTATAATCCCAGCACTTTGGGAGGTCGAGGCAGAAGATCACTTGAGCCCAGGAGTTCAAGACCAGCTGGGGCAACTTAGCAAGACCCATCTCTTAAAAAAAATACAAAAATTGGCTAGGTGTGGTAGTACTCACCTGTAGTCCCCGCTACCTGGGAGCCTGGAGTTGGGAGCATCACTTGAGCCCAGTGAGCTGTAATCGCACCACTGCATTCCAGCCTAGGCAACAGAGCAAGATCTATCTCTTTAAAAAAAGAAGAAGAAGAAAGAGAAGTAATAATGCAGTTAATATCAGGAATCCCCTTTTAAGCAGCTTTATTGAAATAGAACTCCTCCATTTAAAGTATACATACAGCTTTGTTTGGCGTGGTAGCTCACCTATGGGAGGCCAAGGTGGGCAGGTCATAGGCCAGTTCAAGACCAGCTTGGCCAACATGATGAAACCCTGTCTATACTAAAAATACAAAAATTATCTGGGCATGGTGGTGGGCACCTTAATCCCAGTTACTTGGGAGGCTGAGGCAGGAGAATTGCTTGAACCGGGAGGCAGGGGTTGCAGTGAACTGAGATCACACGTACTGCACTCCAACCTGGTTCCACCTCAAAAAATAATAATATAAATAAATAAAGTATACAGCTCTGTGGCTATTGCTTAATAGCATATTTGCTGGGCTGTGCAACCATCGCCATGGTAGGAATTACTTCTAAACAGTGGCTTCCAGGACCTCTCATGGATCCGTATAGATTCAGCTCAGTTTCCCAATGTCTCTGTGTTTGCCTTCAGGACTGTATGGTGGGAATTAAACTTATAGTCACATTCAGATACACTTAAGACTCTGAGTCATTAATGCACAAATGATAGGCTCACAGAAGCAAAACGTTACGCTAATTATTGGAAACTTTTTCAGCCACAGAGCTTCCGATTTTAAAAAGTTTTTCTTTTATTGAGTTAAGCCCAGAATATTCAAGCATTGTAATAAGTCTAGCTTTATTTAAGTGAGACGTCTCTTCAGTGTGTGGTCCTGGCATGATGTGTGTCTGCGTTTGTCCACGTGGCAAGGTAGCGTGTTTCCCACTGCGGCGTGTGTTCCAGGACGGGGAAGGAATGCGTGGCTGAGCCCCACGGGATGCGCCCTTTCTACTCTGCTCATCTCCATCCCACTGAGATCCCAGCTGGGACAGAGGATTCCGTTTGTCCAGCATCTGATGTCTGTGGCTGTCGTGGAAGCAGTGAGGTCCATTCCCGAGTATCAGGTAGGTACAGTTCGGTCTCCCTCGGCGTCCCTACGACGCATGCAGAATCCAGCCTATTCTTGTTTGTAGCACACTGGCGGCGGTGTGCTCTCGGAGCTGTAAGAGCCGCGGCAAGTGCTAATGCTGCTTCAGGCCTGCCCGAATGCGCTCGTTCCGCAGGGCTCCCTTTCTGCCCAGTTTTTCAGATTTCTCAAACAGCCTGATGAGGGCTGTGCTTTAGTTTTTGGTGGTGGTGTGCATTTATTTTTTTAAATTGAGACAGGATCTCACTCTGTCACCCAGGCTGGAGTGCAGTGGCACTATCTCGGCCCACTGCAACCTCCACCTCTCGGGCCTAAGTAATCCTCACACCTCAGCCTCCTGTATAGCTGGGGCCATAGGTGCACACCACCATGCCTGGCTATTTTTTTGTATTTTTAGTAGAGACAGGGTTTCACCATGTTGCCCATGCTGGTCTTAAACTCCTGAGCTCAAGCAGTCTGCTCGCTTCAGCTTCCCAAAGTGCTGGGATTACAGGCCTGAACCACCGCGCCTGGCCGTGTTTGTTTTTTGATTGAAGCACTGGATGTTTTTGATTGGACTGGATGAAAGTTATTCATCTGCATTTTCTATTGAAAAGGGAGCTGGGCGCAGCTTATACCTGTAATCCCAGCACTTTGGGAGGCCAAGGCAGGCAGATCACCGGAGGTCGGGAGTTAGAGAGCAGCCTGACCAACATGGAGAAACCCTGTTTGTACTAAAAATACGAAATTAGCCGGGCATAGTGGCGCATGCCTGTAATCCGAGCTACTCGGGAGGCTGAAGCAGGAGAATCACTTGAACCCATGAGGTAGAGGCTGCGGTGAGCCGAGATTGCATTCCAGCCCGGGCAGCAAGAGCAAAACTACATCCCCCTCCAAAAAAAAGAAAAAGAAAAAAGAAAAGGGTTATTCGGGGAACCTGAAAACCTTTCTCACTTTCTACCTCCGTTTACCAGATCTGTGCTCTGGCGGAGCCATCCTTTGTCCACTGCTGGCCAAGCACAATGTGCAGGTCACTTGGGGCCGTCTTCCCCCAGCTGCTAGGACCTGTGCGCCTGCTTGCCCATTACTCCTGGATGCTTTGTTGTCAATTATTAAAAAGACAAGCAAGAGGGAACAGTTAACCCAGTGACTGAAGCATTTCCTTCCGTAGTCGGGCTTCACTTCCCATAGCCCCCTCCCAAATGTTGCTGGAAGAATTTCATGTGGATATAAAGAGGAGATCCCTGCCTCCCTCCCCCAACAGCTCTTAATGGCAGGCTAAAGAGGCACAACTGGATTGATTCCTGAAGCAAGATGTTAAGAGCCTGACCCTCCAAGGACACTTGGAGGCCCTGTCATCATTTCATTGAAGAAATAGTCCTCCCCACTGCCCCTCAAATCCCTCTGTGATGTAGCCACGCCCTCACATTCACTGTGTATGAATTCTCAGTATTCCACGGATGCAGTCATTGCTGACGTCTCTGTTTCTTGTATTACATCACATTGCGGAAACAGATGTTTACTACCATGCACCCAGCATCCTGGCATGTTTGATGGTTTGAGGGTATCACACCGTTTCAGGGCTTCGGGTGCCTGGCCTTTAGCACCTGAGCTGTGCATTCTGTCTAGCAGAAAGCCATCAACTAGAAAGTCCTGGCCATGCTTGGTGCCACACACCTGTAATCGCAGCACTTTGGGAGGCTGACACAGGCAGATCACCTGATGTCAGGAGTTCAAGACCAGCCTGGCCAACATGGTGAAACCCCATCTCTACTAAAAACACAAAAATTAGCCTGCATGGCTAATGGTGGTGGGTACCTGTAATCCTAGCTACTCAGGAGACTGAGGCACAGGAATCGCTTGACTCTGGGAGGCGGAGGTTGCAGTGAGCCGAGATCGTGCTATTGCACTCCAGCCTGGGCAACAGAGTGAGACTCCGTATCAAAAAGTAATAATAGCAATCATTTAAAAATCGTCCTGGTATGGGAGAAATTACCTTTAACTCTAGCAACAGGTTAGTGTTAGGAAAATAAGTAAGACAAACGTTGAGCTGAGAACGTTAAATGAGTCTGTTTGATCTGTTTAGCGTCTTCATGGCCTTGACTTTGACCTTAGAGCCCATAGTTCCCTTAGTGAGCATTCTTTGAGGACCTGCTGTGCGCAGAGCCTGCGTGTGCCAGGTGCTGGGGGGCCAGGATGGAAGTGGGAAGCTCATCTTCAGCGGTGAACGGGGTTGGGGGAGTTTGTGGTCCTTAAGAAGCTTGTTCCATAAGCTTCTTCCCCTCTTCCACAGTTAGTCGCCCAGCCTCACCTATATGATGGGACATTTGATTTTGAATTGGATTTCTTTTTTAACATAGCCAAGTTAGCTGACACAGTGCAGCTACTGGATGATTGAAATAGGCCCCTGTTGTTTGGAGTTCGTTTTTGTTATGGCGTTCATTAGGGCCCCAACTGGTCCCTAACCAGATGTCACCTTCAGCACACAAATCGTGACCACCCTCCCCAGACCCACGGCGGCCTCACTGGAACATTCCTTCCAGAGGCAGGAGGGCTCCCGTGGAGTTCCCAGGGCTGTCAAGCTCCTCCGCCATGTGCGCGGCCACTGGTGCCTGGGCCTTCCTTCCAGAGCCTGCCTTGGGCTGTCCGTTCTCACTCCTGCTCTTTCTTCTGTGAAGTTCCTCTGGGCCCAGCACCCTCCCTCCACCCATGCACCCCTGCCCCCTGCTCTCTTCTCTGCTTCTTAAAATTCTGTTCATCCTTAAGGTCCAGCTCTGCTTCATTCTCAGACCCTCCAGCTCCTTCCAGCTCTTTCCTCCAGCACTGGACAGCACTTGCAATGTTTAAGCCTCTTTCATGGTATCCACCGTGTGTGGCTTTGAAGAGGAGTGATGTGTGCTCCTGTTCCATCTCCCGTGAAACTAGCCGCTCTTCAAACCAGGATTTGTCTCATTTTGGTCTTTTTTACATGGGAGGATCACAGCAACTGTTGGAATACACGGTTGGGAAAATGAAAAATCAACACACAGGCCTCCTCTTCATCGGAAATGTTGGTCCTGTTTACCTGCGTGAGAACCCAGAGTTTCACAAGCTACTTCATGAACCGATGTGATTTGAAGATGTGAAGGCGAGCCGGAGCCCATGTGCAGGGCCCGCTAGGCACCAGCAGCTGCGCACGCGGGGGAGGAGCTTAACAGCTCTGGGAATTCCACAGGTGCCCTCCCGCTGCCAAGGCAGGGGCCCATTCCCCTGGCCACGTGGCGGGCACAGGGGGATGTGGGAAGGCGAGAGAGGAGCAGGAAAGGGAACTGGGGGCAGTGACGAAGAGCAGAGTCTTCCAGTCACAGGTTTCCTAGAGGAGACTTTCTCAGCCTGGCACGATTGACATGTGGGTCTTGGTGTCTGTGTCATCGGGGTGTCCTGTGCCTTAAACGATGTGTCAGCCTCCACGGCCTCTACTCTCTAGATGCCAGTAGCACTCCCTCAGGCTGTGACAACCAAGAAAGTCTCCTGGCACTGCCAAATCCACCCCTCCCAATGGGAATCCCTGTTCTAGAGAGAAAAGAAACGTGAAGCTGTTGATCAGTTCAGGGTCATTGCAAACCCCGGTACTTTATTGACTTAGACTTTTGGTTCTTCTGTGCCCCTCCTATTCCTGCATTTTTTTTCTCAGCCTGAACTGCTGTTTTAGAGCAGATGACTTCTAATATGCTTTAACTGGCTGAGGTCAAAAGAAAGCCTGTTGGAAGGAGGAAGGGGATTTCATGGAAGCAACAGGCCTTATAGCATAGGATTCATCACCCAGAAAGGTTTGAATCTCAGCTCTGTGGCTTTCAAGTGATAGAATCTCAGGCAAGCCACATAATCGCTCTAAACTTCTGTTTCTCCCTGTGTTCCCTAGGGATGGGCTAGCACCAACGCATGGGCTGGGTGTAAGTAACATGTTGACTAGTGTTGAGAAGGGGCTCAGGGCCATGCCTGGCCCATGGAACTTGGAGGCCATCGGCTACTCTCTGGTCCCTGAGCTTTATTTTCCTGAATGTTCTCTTCCAGCCTCACATCTCCAGATAGGCTTCCTTCACCCACCCATGGCACAGCCTGGCTGCCAGCCCCAGCTTTAGAAGACCTGCTGGTTCTGACACCCACTCAGCTAGCCCAGTCTCTGTGTCCCAAATTAAGAGTCACAGTGGATAGGCAGAGGTCTGGGTGGCCTCGTTCAAGACACTGTCCACTCTTGGTCCATTCTGTGAGCTAATGACAGGCAGAGCTCCCCACCAGACCACACTATTTAGGATGCAGAGGCAATAGGTCACCTGACAAGTCAGTTTCCATGACCCCAGGGGGCCATTAGCAATTCTGCAAGGCTTTTGCTAAACTGAATTACTCCTCTGCGTCTTCACAGCATTCTTTTTTTTTTTTTTTTTTTTTTTTTTGAGACAGAGTCTTGCACTGTCACCTGGGCTGGAGTGCAATGACGCGATTTTGGCTCACTGTAACCTCCGCCTCCCAGGTCCATGCAATTCTCCTGCCTCAGCCTCCCAAGTAGCTGGGATTACAGACGTACACCACCACACCCAGCTAATTATTTTTTTGTATTTTTGGTAGAGACAGGGTTTCGCTATGTTGGTCAGACTGGTCTCGAACTCACTGATCTCGTGATCTGCCCACCTCGGCCTCCCAAAGTGCTAGGATTGCAGGCGTGAGCCTCTGCACCCTGCCCACAGCATTGTACTTAAGACATTTCTACCTGCCTTTCATGACCTTTGTTAATTCAGGGCCATCTTTGTCTCTCAAGCATGGCTTCCTGAAGGGAGACACAGCCTGAGATTACTGTTTTCTCCCACCCTCTGCCCTAGCACGTTAGTTAGCTACTCCATGGTGGTGGTGATGGTTGATACTGACATAATGAATTAATTTACAAGGTAGGCATCTTCAGAAAGTGTTTAGGATGATGAGAAATGGTGCTGAGAGGTGGGGAAGAATGCTGGGGTTTAATGCAGACCATGTTCTTCAGGTATTTTACCTTACCTCCTAGCCCCAAGAGGCACTTCAATACTGGATTGTCCCAAAGAAGTGACTGGCTATCTGAAAACGAGGGGAGGATGAGGTCCATGTTACCTTAGCTTCTGCTTATCTTCCCTTAGCTCAGTGACTTGCCTGGGCCCCTTGTGTCCTGAGACTGCTTTAATTAACGTGCAGATTTCCCTTTAGGATATCAACTTACGAGTGAAGTGGCCCAACGATATTTATTACAGTGACCTCATGAAGATCGGCGGAGTTCTGGTTAATTCAACGCTCATGGGAGAAACATTTTATATACTTATTGGTAAGTTTCTAAAACCTTTTCTCCAGCATTTTTAGATTGATAAACTGTTAAAAAATAAAAATGGTTTATGCATGCTTACATTGGCAAGAGCAGATTGTCATATGAGATTACTTTGAGTCTTGTAGTTTTGGAGCAGGATATAGATGCAGAGAGACTAGTCGAAAGCACTTCACAGAGTTTAGCATTTTCTGTGTGTGACCATGGAAAGCACCAAAGTGGTAGCACATCAAACCAGATGTGATGTGACCACTCACATCAAAGTGGTATTACATCCTTCCACACTCCTGCTACTCATCGAATTCGAAATGGTGAAAATAAACATTTAATGTACCATTCTGTAATAAGAAAAAGAAAAGTTAATTTCTTTTATTATTTTGAGACTGAGTCTCCACCAGGCTGGAGTGCAGTGGCGCGATCTTGGCTCACTGCAACCTCTGCCTCCCAGGTTTAAGCGATTCTCCTGCCTCAGCCTCCCAAGTAGCTAGGATTACAGGTATGTGCCACCACACTCAGCTAAATTTTGTATTTTTAGTAGAGACAGAGTTTCACCATGTTGGCCAAGATGGTCTTGATCTCTTGACCTCATGATCCACCCACCTCAGCCTCCCAAAGTGCTGGAATTACACACGGAACCACTGCGCCTGGCCCAAGTTAATTTCTAAAATAGTTCTCCTGGTGTCTTGCATTCTTATCGTGACCTTCCCAGGCCATGAAAGAGTTGCCATCATTTGAACCTTCAGAAGAAGCTCCAGGCTGGTCCAGGTGGGGTAAAGAATCCCTGTTTCACCTTAGCACATCCAACTCAGGCAGAAAGATGGATTCAGAGGCAACCTCAGAAGTCAGGTTCCTAGGCATTCAGCCATCAGCCTCGCTCTGTGGCAGTCCAACCCTTCTCTGTGTTCAGAAATGAGCAATGGTCAAAAAACATGTAACCGTGTGTTCCAAGTGCCAGCCAGGGAATACAGGCCCGTGTTACCAGCTCTGCCACCAAGGGGCAGTGTCACTCTGGGCAAGCTACTTCATACCCTTAAAGCTCCATTTCCTATCTTTGTTTTTTGTTGTTGCTGCTTTTTGGTTTGGTTTTGGTTTGTTTTGAGGTGGAGTCTTGTACTATTGCCTGGCCTGGAGTGCAGTGCAATTCCAGAATTGCAAAAAACAATGATCTTGGCTCACTGCAACCTCCACCTCCCAGGTTTAAGTGATTCTCCTTGCGTCAGCCTCCCGAATAGCTGGGATTACAGGTACATGTCACCATGCCCAGCTAATTGTTTGATATTTTTAGTAGAGATGGGGTTTCACTGTGTTGGTCAGGCTGGTCTCAAACTCCTGACCTCATGATCCACCCATGTCGGCCTCCCAAAGTGTTGGGATTACAGGCGTGAGCCACCACGCCAGCCTCCTCCATTTCTTATCTTTAAGTGAGTCATTGCAGTTGATGCAGAGATTCCTAGGTAGGGGCCAGATGGCAGGGAGGCTCATGGATGATCAGCAGGGGGTAAGCAAAGGCCAGGCATAGTGGCTTGAGCTCATAATCCCAGCTACTTGCGAGACTGAGGCAGGAGCATCACTTGAGCCCAGGCGTTCAAGGCTACAGTGAGCTCTGACTGAGCCACTACACTCCATTCTGGCTAACAGAGTGAGACCCTGTCTCAAAAATAAAAAAATAGGCCAGTGGTGGTGGCTCATACCTGCAATCCCAGCACTTTGGGAGGCTGAGGTAGGTGGATTGTTTGCGGCCAGGAGTTTGAGACCAGCCTGAGCAAAGTGGCAAAACACTGCCTCCACTAAAAATACAAAAAAATTAGCTGGGTGTGGTGGTGCGTGCCTGTAGTCTCAGCTACTTGGGAAGCTGAGATAGGAGAATCACCTGAGCTCAGGAGGTTGAGGCTGCGGTGAGCTAGGATCGCGCCATTGCACTCCAGTCTGGACAACGGGACTGAGACCCTGTCTCAAAAAATAAATGAATAAATTTTTTTTAAAAAAGCGGAACGAAACATTTCCCTTTGGTGGGAATTCATAGTTTTTATTGAATTCTGAAGGCCATGGGATGGGGCATCTGACTTTGGGGAATCAGAGTAGCCAGCAGGGGTGCCCACTGGTCCTTAGGGCATAGCCTTAGCTGTGAGTAGTCAGTGTTGCTGATCAGCCTGGGAATTCCCGTGTTCTGAATGCAGGGGAGAGTTTTCAGTGCTGTATAGCACTTAATTTAATGCCTTACCTTCAGCAAGCGCTTCAGATATTGTTTGTATTGAATGAATGAATGAATGGATGAATGAACTGCAAATTCTGCCCTGTTGCTGTAGTTACTTGGTTTTTTTCTGGAGGTAATTGACGTTGCTTTGTATTTTAATAGCCAGTATATTGTTTTCAGATCTGAGACCATTCAGTCCTTCCCTTCACACTGGAAATGGCGGAGCACTTGCCGCAGAGTGCTGTTGTTAGAAATGGCATCGTTCTGTCTGAGGCGAATGTCTTGGGGATTTTTTTCTTGGAGTCACTGAAAACATGGTAGTTTTCTTACTGCTTAGTTCTTGTAGTATTTCATTTCTCACTGAAGACCTCTTGTAGGTCGATTCAGGGCCCTGCTGAATACTGAAGGTCAGCTGTTCTGAAGACACAGCCCCTCCCTGAGTGGATAGTGGTGTTAAGTAACTGCACAGAGAAGCCTGTTCAGATACCGCCCTGGGAACTCTCGTGAAGCCTTGGTTTAGGAGCCTGTAAAAAAGCCACTGAGCGTGGGTCAGTGTCTTGCCAGCAGCGTAACCTTAGCACCAAAGACTTCCAAGGAGAAAGTAGTAAAACATGCAGTCTAGGGTTATGCCATGATCAAGGTTTGAAATGTCTGAATGCAGAGTTTACTCCCCAAGTCCTGAATACAACTCATACAACTCTCTGTTTTCAACCGTGTGATCTGTTTATTCAAGTAGGAGAAGAAAGAAGAGATTCTCTTCTAGGTTGGGCTCAGCGCAGAGCTACAATGCCTGGTAGACCACTTATTCCAGAGGCAACACTCATACGTTTTGTCCCATATTTAATAGTTTCTATTGAATTAAACGGAATCAAATGTGGCTTTCTTTTTTCCCAACTTCTTATTTGCGGTAGGGCTGAGATGATTTTCAGCTTGAACAAGAATAGTAAAAGACGGACGAAAAGGAAGGTGGACAGAGAGATAGAAGTCACTCTTCCAGTGGCTAGAGACAGAAAATCTGAAATGAGTTCAAGGAAGCAGGAAGTTGACAGGACTGTCACTTTTTCCAGGTGGCAGAAAGGAATGTGTGGTGCCATCAGCAGGCTGAGCTGCTCAATTGTTTGTTTTTGTCCAGGCTGTGGATTTAATGTGACGAACAGTAACCCTACCATCTGCATCAACGACCTCATCGCAGAATACAACAAACAGCACAAGGCAGCACTGAAGCCCTTACGAGCCGATTATCTCATCGCCAGAGTCTTGACGGTGCTGGAGAAACTGATCGACGCGTTTCAGGACCAAGGGCCCAACGGCGTCCTTCCCCTTTATTACAGATACTGGGTCCACAGGTCAGTGCTGGCTCTGCCTCATTCTTTTCAACTCCTTCATTAGTACCTTGGTATCAGTAGTTCAGTGTCTTAAAATGAGGGGCTTAGCGGTGGTCCAAATGATAATCTTCTGTGCCTCTTCTGGAGAAACCGCATGGACACCATCTTGACCAAGTTAGCATCTGCAGTAATGGAGCAAACTGGCCTCTTGTGCCTCCTGGTGGGATGCAGTGGGAAGAACCAAAAACCATGAGGGGGTGTAACGTTGGTTTAATGTGGTTCTAGTTGTGAGGAAACCATCTGACACATCTAAATTGTCGAACCTTCTAGTTTGGTTCTCAAAGTGAGATCCCCAGGCAGGCCTCAGCCTCAATCATCAGAAACTCAGGGGCCGGGCCAGCACCCTGTGTCATAACAGATGCTCCAGGAGATTCTCCTGCAGCTGAAGTCTGGGGACCACACGCTGATGTGACGACAGCAGGCCTGTGTCCTGCAAAAACGTCAGTGTCCTCACACAAGCAACTGGACCAAAAAAGGGGGTGAATTGTTTGGGATTCGAGAAGACTAACGAGCGTGACCTCTAAATGTGAAGTGTGATCCGTAGATTCTGGATGGAGGGAAATGGCCGCGAAGGACATGGAGGGGACAGTGGGAACAACGTGAGCATGGACCACGTGGTAGATAAGGTCATTGCATCCAGACTGGGTTTCCTGAGCAGTCATAGTTCGTGCTGTTATAATTTTGTAGGAGGTTCTTCTTCTCAGGAGAGTCACGCTAAAATATTTAAGCAGAAAATGTCATCATGCCTGCAGCTTTTCAAAAACTTTCTAAATTTCCATTTGTTTTCTTTTTTTTTAAGAGAGGGTCTTGCTGTGTCACCCAGGCTGGAGTGCAGTGGTGCCATCATCGCTCACCACTGAAACCTTGAACTCCTGGGCTCAGCTGATCCCCCTGCCTCAGCCTCCCAAGTAGCTGGGACAACAAGAGTGAGCCACACACCCTGATAATTTTTTCTTTTTTTTTAGAGGCAGGGTCTTACTATATTGCCCAGGCTGGTCTCAAACTCCTGGCCTCAAGCAATCCTCCCAACTTGGCTTACCCAAGTGCTACGATTACAAGCATGAGCCACCACACCCAGCTGCAACTTATTTTTATATGATGCAGAAAAAAAAATGTGTGTTTATGTGTGCACAGAGAAAGCAAATATGGAAAACATTTTCGTTCGGTGTGAGAATGGAAGAGAATATGAAGTGTATTGTACTATTCTTTCAGCTCTGTAGATTTGAAATTCTTCAAAATAAAAACTTCGGGGGAAAATTTTATGCTTCGAAAGCTGTTAAGAAGGACATGACTTGAGTGCATTTGGAAAATATTCAAAAGAAGTAGGATCAGGATGAGCGTCACTTGTGGTCGACATGACCCAACTCTGTTTTATAAGATAAAACATTGTTTGCCAGCTCAGCCTCTTTTCAACCTCAGCCAAGTGACCTAGAGTAGCACAGTGTTTCTTAAAAGCGCTGGAGGTGTAAAAGCGCTGGAGGTGAAGAAGCGGTTCGAGCCATGACCGCAGATGACCGGAATTAGGAGGCGTGACACTGGATGAAGAACCTTCCATCCTTGTTGAACTTGCACCCTGCTGGTGATTTTAGCAGCTATGGAAACTTTCACCTGGGTGGAAGGAAGTTAGGCTCAGCCCGGGCTGCCTCTTCCCCTCAGCGAGCCCCAGCCCCCTCCCCAGCACCCAGCCCTCTCCCCGTGGATGATCATTCAGCTCATTGTCCCAAGGCCGCCTGTGACGTGCTCTTCCTTCTTTTCAGTGGTCAGCAAGTCCGTCTGGGCGGCCCGGAGGGACCAAAGGCGTCCATCGTCGGCCTGGACGATTCTGGCTTCCTCCAGGTTCACCGGGAGGGCAGCGAGGTTGTGACTGTGCACCCGGACGGCAACTCCTTCGACATGCTGAGAAACCTCATCCTCCCCAGACGGCAGTAGGCTGATGTTCCTGAGACGGGCCTGGGCCTGCCCTCCTGACTCACCCGGCCTGGCGCTTGGGCAGCAGGCGAGGATGCCACTGGGCTGCCTGGGGTCCGAGCCCAGTGCGGATCCACCGCAGCGAGCATTCGCTTTCACCGCGGCCGCCTGGCCACGCCCACACATCTGGAAATTGTTTGTTTTGTTGTCGTTTCCTTTGGTGTTTGAGGAGAATCTGGGATAGACGGTTGGCAAGTAGAAGATTTAGATTAGGAAACGCCCTGGCACAGGTGAGAGGTCGCCCTCCCTTCTGGGACTTCGACTTATGTTTATTTCCCGGGGGAGTTTTTACGTGGAAATGGCAATGGAAGGCCGGGTGCCGTGCTCACGCCTGTAATCCCAGCACTTTGGGAGGCCAAGGTGGGCGGATCACCTGAGGTCAGGAGTTCAAGACCAGCCTGACCAATGTGGAGAAGCCCGTCTCTACTAAAAATACAAAGTTAGCTGGGCGTGGTGGCGCGTGCCTGTAATCCCAGCTACTCTGGAGGCTGAGACTGAGAATTGCTTGAACCTGGCAGGCAGAGGTTGCAGTGAGCCGAGATCGTGCCATTGCACTCCAGCCTGGGCAACGAGAGCGAAACTCAGTCTCAGAAAAAAAAGAAACGGCAGTGGGAGGATTCAGATATTTTCCCAGTAGCGGAGACCTTTACCCCTAGACTGTGAAAAAACAAACCAAGATTTGCTCTCGAGCCCAGGCCATTGTTGAGTTAGAAGTACCGTGTCCTGTTTCTGAGCATCTTGGGAGGTATTTAACACTAAGAACATGCTTTGGCTCTCCGTCATTGTTCCAGGTTTTTGTTAATGAAGGAAAGGGAAGGTAGACTTCCCAGAGCTGCTCTTCACCTGTGGTGTGGTCCCACGGCGCAGTCTAAACGCCTATAGAGATACAGCCAACTTGTGTGTTGCAATGACCTTGTAGAGGAAATCAGTTGATTGCTTTGACATTATTCAGTGAGCCCTCCTTTCCTAAGGAAGTTTAAATGTCTTTGCTTAGGGACTCGCTTTCTTAAGTAGGTTTGAATTTACTACCTATTGTGAAGAGATGGAATCAAGTTCAGAATCCTTAAATGTCTGATGAAGCGTCACTTGGAGAGGAGGTGGTGGCTTGGCTCTAACAGCTGGAGATGAAGGCACAGTCATGCCACGTGCAAGGGAGGGCTTGGAGCTTTGAAGCCAGGGTCAGATTCACTCTGAAATGTGGAGCATTCCTGCAAGACTGTGCAGTTCACGGAATATAGAAGACATGGCATTCTACTCAGAAGTCAGAGTTTTTCTCGCCGCCCCGCCGCCCCCCCCAACCTTTACCTCATATTACCAAGGAAGAAAATGTTATCGATACTAAACACCATCAGTTCAGAGGGAGGCTGTGTACGTGAGTGCCCGCTTATGTATGTAGATGCGTGTGTGCACACATAGCTTTAAAAGAAGCCATTGAAAATCTGACGTGCTACTGGCCTCAGGAAAGAACAAAAGAAAGGAAGCGTTTTGATACGCATTCGCTATTCCCAGATGGACGCCAGGCCTTTTCCATGGCGCTCCTATCTCTTGAACTTGTGAATCATCCCCATTACCTTTCGGCTTTAAAAGGCCAGTTTGTGTCCAGCTTTCTCTCTTCCTGCCAGTCCCAGCTGAAATTAATGGAAAGAAAGTTTGATGGAGCTTTCAGCTTTGAACAAAAGCCCTCCACTGTAAACGAGCACCATCTTTATCCAGGTCTTACCCAGTCAGGCTAATTCCAGAAACTTGTGGTTTTTAGTATAAAATCTGTCTACCTTTAGTCAGGCACAGAACACCCCCATAGGAAGGAAAAATACCTAATACGTATTTTTTGGAAATGAAACATTAAAAGAACTTCAGAAGTAATTTTTGGAGGTAAGGCTTCAATTAGAATTATTTTTCTCAAAAAAAAAAAAAAAAAAGAAAAGAAAAAGAAAAACACTCTTCTCCAAATGCACAAGTCTTCTTTCAAAATTAGTTTGAAGCTTAAATAAAAGTCTACACCACCCCTAAATTACCAAATGGACTCACCCTTGAGAGGGCACCTGCAAAATATCAGCCAGGGCAAAGATCTCGAGGCTAACGATGCAAGTTTCATTTCTCAGACTTTGTAATGTAAGGCCAGCCCCCTCTCAGCTGCCATCATCACTGTTGGAATTTCTTTGGGGGTTCTTTAATGAAAAACACGCTATGTTTTGTTTTAAGCTGAAGTCCTATTCTGGCCATTCTGCTTTGGGGAACAAAATGCTATCATTTAATTTCCTTTCTGCAAATTAAAACTAATGAAGTGTGGCCTTGTCAAAGGATGCAGAGATGTTCCTGGCGTCCTGCTGTGCCTCTGCTTTCTAACAGGCTGCCCTCACTTGCAGGAGACCCAGTTGTCTTGAGGGAGATGAGGCAGCCTTCAAGCAGAGGCCGCGTTTTCCATAAACCTGACTTTGCCTCACATGAACCAAAGACTCTCGCAACTCTGCTTGCTATAGAATTACCTGAATAAAGGCATTTTCCCAATAGCTGTTAGTGTTAGGGCAACTGTCTACCTGCTATATCCCTCTCCCTGGTTTGGGCCATATAGTATGCACCCTGCAACGAGGATCTCAAGGAGCTTTAAAGGTTGAATGGAAACTTGGCATTTTCCTCGTGATCTTTAAAATGTGGTCACTAAACTCAGGATTGGCTTGTGCTTTTAGAACGCTGGATTATCCCTGGCTTTAGAGGCTGTGCATTGAGTATGGACCATGTTTTGTAAAAGCAAGGTATCTTCCTTTCCAGGCTGGTAACAGATTTCAGGGAGACTCTTGGGGAAGGGCCCCCTAAAACAGAACACTGCAGTCACTGGGCTTCCTGTCCCCATCCCCACCCCAGCGGTGCCCTTTGGCACTGGGAAGTCTGCCAGGGAGTGGTGGAAGCAGGAAGGATTTGTGTTCGAAGTAAAATCACGGTTGAGTTTCACTGCTGCAGGCTGACGTTGTCTGATGTGAGATCAAGTGACTGACTGGAGCCGCGCACAGGCCCACGGGGAGCACGGGCAGCAGAGTGCAGCCTGGGGATCCCCCAAGCCACAGCAGGGACAGCATGCTTCCCTTTTGCCCTGGAGTCTGGGAACAAAGAGAGGAGCCAGCCTCACTCCAAGCTTCAGATGTAAAAGGGAGGCAGATGGGCTTCCGTTCTCCAGACCTGTTTGCTCTTAACCGGCAGATCCTGGGAGAATCCTCATTCCTCGTTAATCACTATGCATATTCGAAATACAACAACATGAAAGCCTCTGCAGTTTTAACTTTTCAAAGAATGTCTCTGAAAAGAATCACTTTAAACCAATGCCTATAAAAAGTAAATCTACCAAAATAAACTAAGACTTTCTATGTGGTTTGGGCTCACTCTTCTTTTTACAAGTTTCATTTTTAAAAGTAGGCAACTACTTTGGGTTACTGTATTTTTATTCATATTTAGACATTTTTACAAAATAAATAGTGTTTTACATAGTAAGGAATATTTATGTATTTCCAAGTATTAAGAAGCCAGGTGGTTTTTTTTTTGACATATTATTGACAAATGTATTCAGCGCTGTACACAAGAGAAATATTATTACTCCAAAGAATGAAAGTAAACAAAACCCAAAAACAAACACCCTTTTCACTGAGGTGAGAAATAAATTTAATGTAACAACTTCTAGATTGTTTTTAGGATAGTTCTTATTCTTTTGTGGAAACTGCTTGACTTTTCATCTGAATAGTGTTTCCCCCAAGATTTTAACCTTATATGTCATACTTAAGTTTGGGAACAGCTTGAATAATGCATTCTAGATAACACAAGGGCTGTGATTTTATGGCATTTATTTGCAAATGTTCTTCATTTCCCATTCTGTCTGTAGCAGCCCCCCAGTCTACCTTAACTGGCTTATAGCTGGGTTAAATTAGAACTTAGGTAGACTTTATACAAGATCCATTGGCCGTGTTAAACCTCCCCCACTCTTAGGGCGGAAGGGCTGAAGGCAGGGCTGATAGGACTTTTAAAAAGATAAAAGGGGTGGGGGCGAGGGAGGCGGAAAATACAGGCTCTTACAGATACCCTCCGCTGCCCTCCACACCCAGCCCACTGCTCTACAAAGGTATGAATGGAATGGCTTTTCTAGAAAAGGGCTTCCAAGAACATAAAGGAATTCCTTTCCCTGGGAGGCCCTGCGGAGGGCTGAGCCAGCCTTGAATTGGGCTTATTTCTCAAATCCATTTGATCTGGCGTTTTTGTCAACATAGTACATGTTAGGGCCCACAACGATTTTTTTTTTCCTTTTTGTAAAAGAGAGGCATATATATTAAAAATGCTTCCTCTTCCCCTGGCAGAGCCTCACAGAAGTCAAGAAACGCTGTCCCCAGCTTAAATGTGCAGACTCTTAAAAGATGGAGGTAACAATATTAGGTTGCCATAGTAACAGCGCTGTTAACTTTGCACTGAGCCCTGGCCGTCCTGAAGCCAGCTCGTGGAAGAGTCTTCCTTCATGTTCTAGGTTATGAGAACAGTGATGTTTGTTTAGACAAGGACGTTTCGCTAGTACACATTTTCTTTTTCCAGTACATATACAATCTGTTACGCCTGTCTACATTGTCACTTGTAAAATAGGGTCTTTTTTCTCCACAGTAACCTTTCTTATTGAACTGCTCTGATAGCCTTGATTTATTTTTACTAAATACAGCTCCAAAAGTTAATAGCAAGGTAGACACAAAAGCATTTTGCGGTACTTTATTGGAAAATGTCGGTGGTATCTCCTAGTAATAAAACCTACACCTTTCAGGAATCACGGTTTAATTACAAGACTCTTGAACATTAAAAAAAATAATAATACCCTCGGCTTATTTCATGTGCACGACACTTAGAAGGAGCTGTGAATGAGGTATAGCTGAGTACGTGGAGAGCTGGGCACATCCTTTTCGACCATGCAAGCCCCTTCGCTGCATGACCCACGGTCCTAAATTTGCAAATTGTAACTCGTACCATGATGCCCACTGACAGATACCCTGTAGGGACTAAGTCAGGTCCTTTCACTAAGTGATACAGGGTTGGCAAAGAAACCAGTTCACATTTTGAGAGCAGTCGGTGTAGGTGCCCTTTGATTCTAGAATGACGAATTAAAAACATTTGTGAAAACCTCTTTCCATTCAGAAAGATGGAAAAAGTCTCCTGAAATAAACCATCTTGATAAAGCAGCAAAATGATGCAGTGTTTATAGTGTGAAGAAAATGGAAAGATGGTGGTTCAAAGCAGTTCGGAGCCATGATGAAATTTTTCAATGTTGAGATCTTTAAGCAAGACCCACAAAAAATAAAAATGAATGGAGGCTTATTTTTTAAACACTGCTGGTGCTTTATGAAGGGATT